CCGGAAAATCCATTACCATTCTTGACCGCTCTATCCCAGATTGTTGACTGTGGTTGTTTTGTGGTTAGGGACAGCCCCTTCCTCTTTTTTGGCTGGAAGCGCTGCAGAGTTTTTTGTGGAAAGGGAACTTGTGGAGAGAGGGGGCGGGCCATCATTGGAAAACAACCAAATGCCATGGGTATCACAACAAAAAAGAGCAGGGGAAGGAAGGCAACGCAACACAACTGTTTACGGCCATCCACAGAGAGCGAGGGAGGACCCGGAGAATTTACTCGATTATCAGGTGCTAGATAGCTAATTTTCTGAAATTTTTTTTGAGCGATGCAGCATACTGGCTGTTAATCTTCGCTTCGAGTAGCATATCGAAGCCAAAATGCCATTTTCAGCTTATGTAGGTTATGCAGTTTTTCGACCCGTAAGAGTTTTTGGTTCTCAGTCCCTTTAAAACCAGCTTTCGATGGATTTGGCTATACTGCCAACCAGTCGATCTTGCGACATCAATAAAATGGGGAAATTTAGCTTTTTTGAGTTATGCAGCTTATGCAGTTTTCCCTTTCTTTTTTTTTTTTTCCCCCCCCTTTAAAAAAATTCTTTTTTTTTTTTTTTGTTTTCCCCCCCCCCCCACTTTCCCAATCTAAAAATTGCCCCACCACTTGTTTTTTGGGTTTTGGGGGGTGTGCAGTTTTCCCCAGGTCCAGGATATTTCTCGGAAATTTCCCCAATTGCATCCCGGGATGGACTTTTTGTGGAGATGGACTTTCTGGGGGTTGTTTTTCCCATCCGGCCCTTCTCTGGCCCCCCGACTGCACTTTTTTGAGAGGGAGCTTTTCACCCTTCTTTTCACCCCCAGAGCTGCGGCTAATTCTGGGACTCAGCCAGCACGACTCGGGGGCACAATGCCGGGAATACCAAAAAAGAGGAGTGGGCAGGGCTGGGGCATCTGAAAATTCGACTTAAGAACTTGGCTACAATTTTGCGACATTGAGGGTCGCAAAGTGGATTAAAGGGACTGGGAAGTAAGGTGTAAGGCTCCCTCCAAAATTCTTAAATGGTCTCTGCTAGTTTGCAAAAACCGCAAAGCCGGCTGTTGTCGGCGACGGTCTATCGGGGATATCTCAAAGAATTTCTGCTGGTTGACACGCTTCTGGTGAAAATCAGGTGTCGCGCTCCCTTTAAAATTTAAGAATTTTGTGGGTTACTTAGGTTATGCAGTTTTTAATCCAAAATTTTTCTGACTTGCCGGTCCCTTTAAAATTGCCCACCGCCAATCACAATCGTGTTTTCTTTCTATCTGGAATCCAGACAGGCCTACAAACATACAAACATCTAGATAGACAGCCAGATAAAGCGCCATCCCCTATCCGAAAGCAAAGCCATTCCAGATGTTTTCCGTTGGCTTCAAAGGGAGAGAGCCGTTCTCCCCTCCCTTTGGACTCTATGTTTATCCCTTCCAGCCCCTGCCCCTAGACCCCTAAACAACGAGCCCCTACCCCCGGAGATACAGCCATCTGTCCCCTCCCCCTTGCCAGAGCTTCATCTCAATTCCAATGTAGAGAGCGAGAGACAGAGATGCCAGATGGACCGATGCCAGTTTGGCTAGCAACCAACATCATTTAGCCGCAAAATCCCAATATTTTCTTGACTTCTGGCGGCCAGCCAGGATATAGCTCATTTTTGGGCGTGAGCATGAGCTCGGGCTCAATTTTATGACTGTTATGCTGTTTTTTGACGGCCATATGGGCGATTGCAACATTCCGATTAATAATCTCGAATATTTTTTGGCTTTTTGGCTCCCAGCCAAACTATTGCTCATTTTTTGGCTTGCTTGAGCACGAGCTTGTGCTCAATATCTGGACGTTATCTCGTTTGTTTGACAGCCATCTGGCCGTTTTTTACACGAATAGGCCGCCTTTTGGCCCCCAGCAAAACAATTTCTCATTTTGCGGCCAGAGCAGGAGCTGGAGCTCATTTTTCTCGGCTTCAATTTGCTTTCTGACACCCATCCAGTAAAGTATCTGGAAGCAGCAATCCGCCTCCTCTATATCGATCAACTTCCAATTCGCGGGTTTCAATTGGTTTTCTGGCTGCCAGCCAAGCTATTGCTCATTTTTGAGTCCGAGCATGAGCTCAAGCTCAATTTCTAGGCCTGGCTCTGCTGGCTTCTAGATTCCTGGCTGCCAGCCAACAAATCCGTTGCAATACTATTCCCTCGAATATGTGTATAGTACAGCAATGTACTCAGAATGAATGTAAAAGGTGCATTGGGTGACAGTTCCCGTTATGAATAGACCAGCGAGTACCCCCCGGATATTGGCATGGAATGTGCAGGGAAGTGTCAGTCAGTGGTTGTGTATGCTGTAAACACTCAATACATCCATATAGACTCGTGTGCCAAGCGGATTGCGGAAATCATGGAAGGGAATTGCTCTCTCACTCTCTCTCGCTCTCTCGCTCTCTCACTGTCTCTCTCTCTCTCCAATATCTCGCTCTCTGTCTCTTTGACTTTCTCTGTCTCTCTCTCCCTGTGTCTCTCTCGCTCTCTCTCTCTCTCTAAATGTAGTCGAACCGGGGGTTGTTTTGATCTAACTGGGGTCCAACCCCCCCCCCACAGGAAATTACCAGTCTGCTATAGTCAGCTAGAGGAACCAAAGCCTAAATTAGCCCTCCAGCCCTCTACTGTACGCCACGCCACCCCCCATAGGCAGGTGTTCCCTTCCCGAGATTGGGGCCACCCTGCATAACCCCACGAAAAGCCGAAGACCAATTTCCTGGCTCTCCATAGGCGAGGCATTAATCCGAAAATGTGGGGTGGCTGCCAGGAGGGCCAATTAAAGCAGAAAGGGGGTCGGGTTGATAGGTGCTTTACGTACACCTGCGGGGAAGAGGAAAACTGCATAACTCGGAGATCGGTCTGGGGAGGAGGGAGAGCTTTGGAAATGATAGTAGGGTTGTCAGATAGCTAATTTTCCTTGAAATTATCAAGATACCTTGGGCAATATTGCCGTAAACAGGTGTATTTTGGAAAACTGCATAACCCGCATAACCTGAAAATCGAGCTTTTGGCTGTCGAAATTAATTCACAGGGTAGATGGATAGCCAAGTTAATTTTTTCCAGCATAAAGATCCGACTACCGTATTCCAGTCTCGTAAATAGGTGTATTTCGGAAAACTGCATAATCTAAAAATCGAGCGTTTGGCTTTGGAAACTCTTGGAACCGGTTAGTTGACTGTGATTTCGTTGTTTTTTGTTAAAAAATTTCTCTACGGTACTCCATTGTCCCGTCAATAGTTGTAATCCGTACTCTGTCATACAGTGACCAAAAATCCACCGTATTTTTCCATATGTTTACCCTGCAAACTTTGGAGAGAATCGTGATTTAGAAGTATTGGTTGTCGTTCGTCCCTCTCCGTCCATTTCGAAAGGTCTCCTAGGGGACCCGTAAAGGGCCATCCCTCCTCTCTCGTTCCAATCGTCCCCATCAATCTCTGCTAGGTCCCCCTCCTCCTCCTCTTCTTCTTCTTCTATAGAATGGGCACAAGGGACACCCCCATACGGGTCCCATTTCTGGAGATTATCTTCCACAAATAGTCCCTTCCACTAAAAGGTATAGAAAAATGGGGAGTGGGATTAGTTTGACTGCTCGGCAAAGAGATGTTTTTGAGCGGGTGGGCCTTTGAATTCGGTCTTCTGGCGTTCAGGGGCCAAGTTGAATCACGAATTTTCCAGGCGCTTCTCAAATATTTGAAAAACTGCATAACCTGAAAAAGCTCAAAAATCACAGTTTCTGTAGGAATTCCGATGTATCTCTTGACAGAAAAGCTTACTTCGCTGAAAAAACTCACCAGTCCCCTTGGGTTTTCGATAAACTAGAAAAAAGCGAAAAACTGCATAACTTTGAAGAAACTGCATAACCTCAAAAAGCTCAAAAGTGGTAATCTGTTGCTGAATCACGGTAGATTTCTAGTCAGAATAACCAAATACGCTGAAAATAACAGCCGAAATTCGGTTGTTGTTGTACATTTCGTTTGCCTTATCAATTCAGTTGTTTCAATCCCGGAATTCCTTCCTGCAGCCCCCTCCAAGAGACTGTCGCCCTTAATTTGTGTCTATCACTGTCGGTTTGTCTGTCTGTTTGTCTGTCTGTCCATGTTGTCAACCAACCAATCTATCTAGTCCTTCCCCCTTCAATTCCATGGTTGACCATTCGCGACACACAACATACACAGGTCGATCCCTCCCCCCTCTTCCCTGTTGACCTCGAAATTTCCACCCGAATCGGTCGGGGCCGATTTATGCGTGTAAAGGGAAGGGCTGCTAGCATGGGGGCCAGTTGCGGTCTCTCTCTAGCGAGAGAGAGGGGCTAAACCCCGCCCCTTTCCCTCTTCCCTCTTCACCATATCCAGCCCCTCCCCCTTGTTGTGAGGCTGGTGCTCACCCCCAGCCCCGCCGGGCTCACAAACAACCTCCGCCAGTTCGCCTCCACGCCCCTCATTCCGCCCCAATACTTTGGCTTCGGCTTTTCTGGCGATCAATTAACCTATCCTGAAAGTATCAGCCGATTTTGAGGCTTTTTGACGTAGTTTTGTTTGTTTTACCAGTAGTTGGCTACCGTAATCCTTTGATTACCTTGAAACTCATATTTTTCGGTTGAACACCTGTCAGTTAGAATACATTGAGGCGCGAAGCCTAGCCAAAATTGGTAGCTCCGCCAATTAGCCCGTTGTTTGTTTAGCCGAGTAGCCCCACTTACCGTACCCCCAAGGCTCTCGATTTTGGCCATTTTTCTTGTTCTTCTTTGCAAAAAGGGCTGACTGTCATGCATTGATTGATTACTTTATATCTTTGATTCAAAATATCCTAGGGGCTCGCTTTCAAGACCCCGACGTCCTCAAGCCGTTCAAAATCCGGTTTTTCGAATCCTACTTTTTGCAATATTTTTCGTGTTTTACACTTTTCTGGCACACATTTAAGAGTCCAATCACCTCAATCTCTTTCCAGGATGGAGCGTCTTCAACCGAAAGTGTACGTGAAGAATGAGTTGGGGCGTGCCCTGCTCGGCGAGTTCGTCGGCACCATGATTCTGCTGGTCAGTTTTTTTGCAGATTTTCGGCCTCCTCTAGCCAATTCATACAAGACAAGGCCCCTTCACCTGGCGCTTCATTTTTTATGGAAACAACACATCCAAAATTCGGTTTTTCGGGGGTTTTGGCAGCCAAAAGGGGCTCTAAAGGCTAGAAAGGCCCGAAAAACAGGGGAAAAGCGGCGATTGCGATGCATAAGTAATGTGTGCCGGGGGCTGTAGGGTCACAACAGGGGCCCAGAAAGGGCCATATTGGGGCCCAGAATTGCCCAATTTCAGAGGCTATGGACGGGGTCTCGTGTTGACTGGTAGGCAATGACCCAAAAGGAGGGAGGGCATTCATTAGACCAGGGGCCCTGGGGCCAATTCTAGAGGGCCCGTTCTCTCTCTCCCTCTCTCTCTCGCTCCCTCTCTCTCTCACTCTCTCGCTTGTTTGTGAGCCATAGGGTATGGCAGAAGGGTTAGATGGTTCCCATGGATACCTCCTCCCCAACCAACACCCTCTCCTCTGCCCTCCAGAGCTCCCATTTGTACGCACTGGATTACGGTAGAGGCCTAATGGCCACCACCGCCGGCCAGGCCCTTTATGCGGCGAAACGGCGAGTGAAACGGAAATCTCCGGGAAATTATCTGATTTTTGAACAATCTGGACGTCAGGAAAGAGGCTGGCGAGGTAGATTTGGTATAATCCAGTTTTAAAGGCATCTGTAAGCCAAAAACCTTTTCTGACTTCCCCGGCCCTTGAAAATTGACCAAAAACAGCGAAAAATGGAAATCTCGAGGAAATTACTCAATTTTTGTGTTAAATGGATGCCAGGAAAGAAGTTGACATGACTAAATTTCGTATAACCCGTTTTTAAAGGAACCTGGTAGCCCGAAAACGGTTTCCTGCCGCCCTGCTGACTCCCTCCGTTCCTCCAAAATGGTCTAAACCGTTCGGCCTCCCCTTTCAACCCTGCCAATTCCATTAATCAGGGGTGACGCGCGGTTCAAAGCGGGCTTGGCTGGAGTCCGACTCCTCTCTTTGAAATGGCCGCGACCAAAGGGGTGGGGTGGTCTTTTGGGGGCCAACCAGCACCCCAGGGCATGGGAAATAGACTCTTCCTCCCTTCTGACATTCGGACTGTCATCCGAATGCCATTCGAATGGTGCGGGTCCTGGGAAAGGGATGGTTGATATTCAAATGTGATGGCGGGAAAATGGTGCATTGGTATTCAGTGGGGGATGGGAAAGGGGCGATCCGGCTAGTTGACTTCCAAAGCCCTTGAAAGCCAGAGAAATGATAATTTTTGTAGATTTCCGGGTGTTTGTCTGTCAGCTGGTCCATCTGATAGAAAATCAAAATTTTAGAACGTAATTTGGCACTGAAGTAGGTTATGCAGTTTTTCAAAAAACACGATCTGGTCGTCTGTAATTTATGTAGTTTTCTGCCTTTCTGTCATTTTGTTTGTTTCTCTGTCGTTTTGTCTGGCGGTTAGTAGATACGAACAGTTCTCGAGATTCTAAAAGCTATTTTAGTCATCATGTAGGTTATGCAGTTTTGGATTTTGGTTATGCAATTTTTTCAAAAGGCCGGATTGGTCATTTTTAAGTTATGCGGTTTCTCTCTCTATCAGTCATTTCGTATGTTTCTCTGTTAGTTAGTCTGTCTGCCTGTCAGTCAGTCCTTCTGCCCCTCAATCTCTCTAATGTACCAACCAGCTGCTGTCAAAATCAGCCAACCCATCCATGGCCCCGGGAATGAGATTATTGCGTGTGGGGGGGGGGGCGGCTAGCTAGTGAGTGTCCCCTCCTCATTCAGGATTCCTCCTCCTTCCACCCCATCCAGTCCAAAGTCTCAAAACACTAACGAGCATCAGCCAAAAGGGCCACAGTTCGGCTTGAAGCAGTCTGGGGCCCACTTCAGGCTTTTATGGGCCATTTTGTGGCGCCCCGGCGATCTGGGCCCGGGGGTCGGGATCTGTTGTGGCCTGTTGGGGGCCAACATGTGTGCCCTTGGGAGCACAGCTGGGGCATAGCTGCAGATATTTGGGCATTAAAAGCATAAAAACTCGTCAGAGAGGCTGGTTTATAGCCACTTTAGCCTAACTGAATAAGATTTGACCGGTTTGTAGACAAAAATCCGACAATTATGGAACCTTGGGTTGTGCAGTTTTTCGGCATCCAAGTCCTCAAACTAAAAACACGTCCAGGTAGACTAGGTTTTGGTCGATTTGGGTTAACTGGATAACATTTGACCGATTTGCAAGCCTAAAAACGGAAAATTCTGGAAAATTAGGTTATGCAGGTTATGTAGTTTTTTTAGTTAGAGTTAAATATCATTTTTAAAGGCATTAAAACCTTTTTCATGACTTTAGCTGGTCTATTGCCATCCAGGCTACAGTATCCCCAACCCAATTTTAACTTTCAAATCCCCATTAGTATCCCAGAGACCCTAAAAACCCCTCCCTTCCGTTAGATGCCCAGCACCGCCCAAATTGCGCAGATTTTCGGACCCCGGCTTGGCCCGCTGGGGGCAAAGGGGACGGGGTTCGATTTGTGTCGTTAATCGGTCACCCCATCGTGCCCCCAACTGGCAGCCAGAATGAAGGAGGAGGAGGAGGAGGAAGAGGAAGGGGGATGGAGGGACAGCTGCCCATTCAAATGAGGGTTCACAGAACGAGAGACAGAAACAGAGAAGGGGGTATTGGCTTGGTGCCAGAAAGGGTGTAAGGAGGGGTGTAAGGGACTGAGAAGAGAACGGGATACCCATCCCTTCCCCCCTAACAGATCCAAGATCCTATCTCACCACGTGATAAGCCCTCCCGTGCAGAGGATGCGGCCGTAATCGAAGCATTCCAAGGGGATTGCGGGATGAATAATGGGGCCGTAACATTCGAGAAGATAACACCGCAGGCGGTAGAGGATCATATAATATAGTCGGGATATCATAATGTGGTAGAGGGAAAATAAGCAAAGGATTGCAACATGAAAGCTATTTTGGCAGTTTTGTCTGGTTTAGCGGCTTCTATGCTAGTTCGAAAAACCGCATAACCTATGCTGGCATCCATGGAATGTAAAAATTTGACTGGGAGATAGTCAATAGCCAGTTAGTCCAGGAAAATCGGTTTCGGACCCGAATTTACAAAAAAAACTGCATAACTTAAAGCCGCTAAAATGCAATTGCCAAAATATCCAATCGCATAGCCTGGGTGCCAATTAGCTTGTTAAGCCGAAAAAACGGATTACAAACTACAAATCCCCTATTTTCAGCTAATCTGAACCCCCTGGGGTAGCCAACAATTCCGAAAAACTGCATAACTTAAAGCCGCTTAAAATCGGGGCCAAGCCTATCCCATCTCCTAGCCTGGGGGGCCAATTAGCGTCGCCAAACCGAAAAAATCGACTACAAACTACAAATCCTCCATTTCAGCTGATCGGAACCTCGGTTGTCGCCCAGCACGAGCTTCCCCGTGTCCGCATCAACGAGCAGATCGGTGTGAATATCGGCTTCGGTCTGGCCATCGCCTTCGGTGTCGCCGTCTCGGCCAAGCTGTCTGGTGGCCATATCAACCCGGCCGTCTCCCTCATGTTCCTTTCGTTCGGATCTCTGAAGCCCCTCCGCTTCATCCTGTACACCCTCGTCCAGATTGCCGGAGCCTTCGTCGGAGCCGCTCTCACCTTCGTCCTCTACAACGGTTTGTGGTTTGAATTTTACTTTTTTGGGAGAATTGTGTTAATTGGCATGTCTAAAGGGGTAGCGAAGCACAAAAAGTAAAAAATATGAAAATGTGAGTTATGCAGTTTTTTGAAGAAGCTTCAAAAATAGCTTATTTCGACGATTTATGGAACTCGTCCTCCAGAACGGTTTGTAATCTGTGTTTTCGAGATTTTGTCACTGGATATAGCTAGCTGGGATTTAATTAAAGGGATAGTGAAGTAAAAAAACGTAAATTATTAAAATCTTAGTTATGTAGTTTTGCAAAATTTCCTTGCAAAATCGGAAATTTAGGCTACGTAAAAAAAAACTTTAAAATGAAAAATATAGCTAGACCAACGAGATAAACGATAAATAACACTTTTAAACAGTATCCTCATTATTTAAAAATTTCAGACGCCATCAACAACTTTGACGGTGGAAACCACACGGTCGTCGGCGCCCACAAGACGGCCCAAATCTTCGCCTCGTACCCGGCCCCCCATCTTGGAACCATCAACGGACTCACTGACCAAGTAAGCTAATTTTAATTACATTTTTACATTGAATTTCTATCTTCTGGCAGCCAAAAATAATCTCTAAATTTCCAGATCATTGCCACTGCCGTGTTCTGCTTCCTGATTGCCCACTTCACCGATGAGCGCCGCACCTCGTACCCCAACTGGGTCCGCCCCCTCCTTATCGGTTGGTTATGCAGTTTTTGGCTCAAAAATAGTTGTTATCGATTTTCTGACTGCCAGCGGGGTTCTAGAAATAGTTGTTATAAATTTTCTATTAACCATTGGGGTTATTTTGGTTATGCAGTTTTTCGTTATGCAGTTTTTGGTTATGCAGTTTTTCACAAAAACCAATTTTTTAGGGATTTTCTGAAACCCAAAGTCCCTATTTTGAGGTTGTCATTGTATACTGCCAGCCAATGCACCGATTTATCGATATTTTCAGGACTTTCGTTTGTCGCCATCGGCACTGCCTTCTCGTTCAACTGCGGATACCCGTGCAACCCTGCCCGTGACTTCGGACCCCGTCTCTTCACCCTCCTTGCTGGCTATGGCGGTGAGACCTTCACCTACCGTGGATGGTGGTGGGTCCCGATTGTCGGACCATTCATCGGAGCCCTCATCGGAGCCTGGGTACGTTTCAATACTCATTACTGACTGACAGAACGTACTTTATGACAGCTAAAGTTTCTTAATATATCTTTTGTTTTCAGCTGTACCAGTTCACCATCGGATTCCACACCTCCATTGAGGTCCTCACCAAGTATGCCATCGTCGAGGGACCCAAGAAGAGCGAGCACATCAAGGAGTACGTTTTTGGGGTAGAGAAATAAGAAAAAATGCCTTAACATTTCGAAAAGGACCGTTTGAAAGTTGTGTAGTTTTTTATTCTGACCCACAGTAAACCTAAAAAATACAAAAATTTGGACAAAAGGTAGGCTTTTAAGTTATGCAGTTTCTGCTTCTAGCCTCAATAAACTTCAATAAAAATAAAGTTTTGGAAAAACAATTCTAAAGTTATGCAGTTTTCGAATCTGGACACCAATAAAGCCAAATTTAGTAAAAGTCCCAAAAGTATATCGCTAGCTAAGGTTATGCAGTTTCCCATTCCAACCAATTACGCAACCTATTTATTCTTTTTCAGGGAGGGTGAGCAGCTGGTGCAGTCTTAGATGCCTCGCCACAATGCCTGCCATCGTCTTCTGAATCTCCACAACGACCGTACTATACCGTATCGTATCGTATTCCCTTGCCACCTCCCCTTCTATCTCTCTCCCCACCTAATGATTCTCCCAAACAGACCCGCAGTCTACAGTATGCTTTCCCAAGCTATCGTAGACTTTTCTGGTGGCCAGTTGGCATTTTTAACTTGTTAAAGTTGTCTTCTGACTTTCAGATACATCGGTCTGTCCCGAAAGATCTTTCCCCCCTCAAAAACGCTCTCATTTCTCAGCTACATCAGACGCCAAATGACAGCAAATTCCCCCTAATTTCCCTACTGTTTTTCACTAATTCCCCTCATCGACTGTTTTCTTCTGCTATCTGCGTTTTAACTCACGTAATAAAATTATTTTTTTACAAACATACGTATAGAAATTTATTTGGCTCCTAGAAATACACCCGAAAAAGAAAGGATTTTAGAGTCCCTTATTGTAGTACAGCTCGGTGGCGCGGGTTTTCTCGCGGAATTCGGGCTCCAGTTGGTTGACGGATATCTAAAAAAACGTATACTGTATGGTAGAGAAGGGATTAGTGATGAGAAATTGGCGAAAAGTTGGTTATGCAGGTTATGCAGTTTTTCAGAAAAGTTATGTAGTTTTTTCAAAACTCGCATTTTTGGCTAAACTAAGCTTACAAAGAGTTTCTGAAGATATGATTTTTCGATTTGCATGCCAGTGAAACAGCTTTGATGTTCAAAACTAAATGAAATCACCAAAGAAGTCATGCAGTTTGTCGGAAAATTACATTTTTTTTGATGAAACAATTCTCAGAAATTTTTTCTAGGGGTTGGAACTTACTGTCTGCACGACAGTTAAGCTGTATTTGATTTAAGACGCGGAAAAATTAGCAGCAAACGACACGACTCACCGTAGATTCCTGCGGGAACAGGGCCAAAGCGATTGGTAGCGAAATTCCAAACGAAATTGTGCAAACGATGGCGTTGACGAGGAGATGGCGAGTCGCTGATTTTTGGACCCAACGGAATCTAGATTGGAGGTCAGTTTATGAAATTAGATTTGAATTTCCGGGTTCTGTAGTGGAATGAGTATCGTAACGTACTTCTCAAAAAATGGCATAATGCATGGGGGGAGGGCGAGGAGGGGGACCGGGAGGAAGGCACGGGTTAGCGCCGTGTCTGTCACTGCCTGAAATGTATACGGTAGGTACGGTATTTTACTGAATTTATTGATTTTTATAATTAATGAATTTTACGGAATTTAATTATTATTTTTATGAACGCAAACCTGTTTCGCAGCCACCTTGCTCACACCAATTACCGTACCCTCACGGTCGTACACCTAAAAATAAGCAGATACGTTGAAATTTAAATTCGGTTCGACGGTTTAATTCCTGGTGTCACGGTCCCTTTAAAACGCCCGACCTCGATTCCAGTCTGCATTTCACTGCCCCTCATGCAGAGAACATTCAAGGTGGAGGCCAGTGAAGTGGCTGGCAGCGGGACAAAACTAAAAATTTTGGGTTTAAAGGCGCTTGGACAGCCGAGGTCAACTCATCTTCTAAGCTGCCTGTCAAGCTATAAACCACAAGCTAAAACTAAAAGTGCTACAAACTATAAACTATAAACTACAAGCTATGTATAAACTACAGACTGCAAACCACAACCTCCAAGACCTTACCGTTGAATAATTAGGCGAGTAGCTGGGGGCAGAGATCCAGCCTTCTTGATCATATACGTCAAGCCTGAAAATCGAATTGTTTTTTAACTTATTTTCATGATCTAAACGGGCAAGCGAGCATTAGAAAAATACCTCCAGCAATAGAACAAGCCGATGTGACAGCAGCCAAATAGGCTCCCACAAATTTCGAGATGGGCTGCGGCTGGAACGGGGGATTTTCATGTCGTAATCTATTCTTGTGGATGTTTTTAGCTTAACTAAAATAGAAATTAGAGTATTCTGTAGTTTGCAGCGTAAAATCAGAAAACAATTTGGTATTTCCGGCCTCACTTTCGAAAAGAGTTTTCATGGCGCAACCGTATGGCCACAAACTCAAAATCGTAGTTTTACATGTCGTAATCAATTGACTGTATAATTTGTATTTTTAACTGGATTCTAATTGGAGTTTGTGTAGTTTATGTAGTTTATGGCAAAAAACGAAATTAGGAAATTTTCGAAGCCTTTCCCCCCAAAAAAGATTTTCGTGGCGTAATCGAATGTTCACAAAACCGCAAATCGTCAAATGTCGGTTGCATAAGGTGTATTGTATGCCAATTAGCAAAACCACTATTTGTACAGCAATTTTGGCCCCTTGTAGTTTGTAGTTTGCACCCCGAAAAGACAAACCTGCGACGCATTCCTATTGGCATAATTGACACAGGCATTATGCGACTGATTGATCCATTGCCAGAATAGAAGTGTCGGCCACGAGGGATTCGGCAACAACATACCAGTTACCTACAGAATACAGTATACTGCCATACAGTAACCCCGAATATCATACCGTAATCCATCCAAACGGTACGTAACCGGACATTCGGAATGGGGGAAGCACTTTTTCACCCGTATCTGGGTGCAAGATGGCGCCTTTTATCTGAAAAATTAGATTGTAGTTTGTACTTCATAATTTTTGCATTTTAAAGGGACAGTGACAGTTAGAAAAGTTTGATCGATGGGAAAGTGGAAAAGTGTTGTTTGTGCTTTTAATTTTGATTTTAAAGGGACAGTGACAGCTAGAAAATCAGGCTTGAAGATCCCTTTCATCTAAACATAAAGTTGTAGTTCATAGCCCCAAATTTTTTCAAAGGAAAGTGTCTTAATTTCGCCCTTTTAAAGGAAGTTACAGTCACAGCTGTAAATTCCGATTTAAGAGCCGTTGGAGGCTAATATACCTTTTGTGCCTCCCACAATTCCCTATCCGAAGCGACATTCTTCTGCCCTGCATCGTACGCTTTCAATAATTCCACGCATTCCTTTAGACGGCTCTAAACTCAAAATTAAAAAATATAGCATCAGATAAATACGTACGTCACTGGTTAATAGGGTTCTTGGATCGACGACATCAAGGTAGTGGAGGTATCTGGAATGTAGAGATTTGAACTAGAAGTTTGGGAGCTTTTTAGTTTGCCTGTCTGCCTATCTCTAGCTCTTTCACTCTCTCCCTCTCTCTCTCTCTCTCTCCCCCCCCTCTCCCTCTCGTTAACCTTACCTGCCAAGAAACGTCTCCTGCGGAAAGCGTGGCTGATTCCGTTGAAATTTCGGGTATTCCGGAAAACCGAGGACTGTCGATTCTTCAGAAGACATTCTACACAACAGATCGATTCATTTTTTATGTAAAACAAAACATTTTGTTTCGGTACCGTTTTCAGAATTAAAATATAAAATACTGAAAAAGTTGTGCAGAACTTTCGGTCCAACCTTAGAACGAAACCTCTCGGCTTGGAGGAGAGAAATTACCTTGAAAAGCCGAAATCTGGAAGAGAGAGAGAAAGCGAGAGAGAGTAAGAGAGAGAGAGAGGGAGAGAGAACAAAAAACGGCCGTAAAATGGCCCTGGCCCCTGCTAGGCAATCCCCCAAAGCCCGGAGTAAGTTAAAAAAAGCTGCATTTTTCGAAATTTCAATTACGCTTTAGCGGTCCTTTAAAAGGGCAAGCCAGTTTAGTATATACTTTTATGAATTCGGAATTTTTGAGGAAATACATATTTTTACGGGAATTTTTTAGAAAAATTATGTTTTCAAAGCGTTAAAAAATAAAAATACTAATAATTTTTGCAAAAATCAACGCGAATGCCCGATCGGCACCCAAACGGCAGCAATAAAAATTCTGGTGTCGGGTGCTATCTGGTTGATCTGAGAAAGAGACCCTTGGAGGGGGGAGGGTCATTGATTACGAGCTGGCCAAGTGTACATGCTCTCTTCAATCCACCCGATCTTTCTCCATCCATGATCTGTCTTGCACACAAATGAGACACACCGCCCTTTCTCTTGCTCCCCAACTGCAACAGCCGAGAAAAATGCCATGTTATAGGCCTCTCTTCAGGCAAAAAAAAATTGGGTTTTGAAAAAAATCGAAAATTAAATTTTTGAAGCTTACTATATACTTTAGAACTTTTCATTTTCGTTTTCGTGGCCTTTCTGACAGTCATTAAATATAACTAGCAAGTTAGAAATATTTTCAAAGGGCCATTGAAGTCAAATTTTCAAGATTTGCCAAAAACTGCATAACCCGCATAACTTTGCCCGGGTTGTAGTCTGTAGTTTATACTGCCCAATCGATTTGTTGTTAGGCAGATAATGGATTTATGCACTCGAAAAACGACAAAAACGACCCGTAGCGGTGAAAAAGTGAGAGATCTGAAGCGGTGGAAGTGGCACTGGGTGGAGGGAGGGCAGAGAGTATGGGAAGAGAGGAGAGGGCAGATATCTCAGCTGAAGGCGTCCCACGATAGCACCTGAAAAATAAAGAATAGGTATGATTTGCTAATTGGTTTTTTTAGGAAAAAGCAGAGGAAAAATGGCTATGTTTCGATAAACTGCATAACCTGCGGAACTCAAATAATGATTTTGGTGACTATTTACCTATTTATTAATTTAATTTGCTATCCAGATAAACCTAAATAGCCGGTGAAAATGTTTTTTATTCATAAGTTTGTTAATTGGCATACAAAAAGTAAAAATAACGTAATATGAAGTGATTCCTAATTCCAAAAAAGTCCGCCACGCGAGCAAAAAACTGCATAACCAAAATAATGACTTCAGCGACTATTTTTCTATGTATTAACTTAGGTTGTGATCCAGAAAAACCTAAGCAGTCGGTAAAAATGTATTTTATTTAATAATTGGAATACAAAAAAGTAAAATATAACGAATTTTGGGGAAAATCGAGTGATCAATCGATTGAGGAGTAAAAAACTGCATAACTTAAATAAAAGTCGTATGACCTAGTTGACGCTTAATTCCATTTGTTTTCCATCCAGTTAACCCAAAAATATCAATATCATACCTCATTCTCCATCAGCTGTCTCTTATTAAGAGAGTTATTATGGGTGGGCCTGGTATTCGCCCTGTAGCCCATTTCTGTATAGACACTCGAGGCACACGTCGAAGGCGCTTCGTTCTAAAAAAAGATTTCAGTAGCTTTATACTTTTTATGAATAACAGTTTAAAAAAAAAATCCGCTTGAAAAAATAAAAAATAATTATGATACCTTAAATTGCAAATTAATATTGGTCCTCATCAGCCTGCCGTTCAAGGCTTTCAATGGTCGATAGGCTGGTGTCATATAGGAAGGCTCGGGTTGTTTGCTTTCCGTCTTCTGCAGCTCGTTCCAGATTGACAACTGAAAAAAATCAGGGTTCATGAATATCATGTCGTAATCGAAAAGCCTAAAAGCCTCGAAAACTGCATAACTTACATCATCCTTGGTGATATAAATGGGATTGTTCATAATTACCCAGGTGACAGTCTCGTGGCAGCCTGAAATACAGTAGCATTTTAGCACGTTAGGGGGTTACGGTACCTGGAAATGTCAAAGAACCCTCGTAAGTGACGTAGTGTGCCGTACGGGGTAATAAAGCTGCTGGGTGGAAGCGGTGCAGGTGTGTTTTACTGCCTAAAATATGATAGAAATGTAATTTTTTTTCATGAAAATAGCTTACTAGTATCCAATTTAAAATTTATAGGATTTCCAGCCCCTTTAAAAACCAAAAAATGCGGCACTGAAGCGGAATTACCTTTGTAAGTGACACTCTGACTGGCCACCGTCAGCCTCCTCAATTCTGGGTTTGTCGTCTTTCCAATCTGAAACTGGTTGCGTAATCGATTACGCTAAATAATAACGGTACTGGAGAACCAGTTACGCTATATAAATAATTCCTCACATCGACAATAATCCCGATAGCCACAACTCCACGAGGTTGTGAGACGGCCTGGCTGAAGTTTGCGTACAGCTCGGCGTTGTAGGCGAGGAGTTGAAGCTGAAAAATAAATTGATGTTTGTCATTTTAGCTGAATTACAGTGGTTTTAAAAAAAATTTATCTTCTTTGGGAGTTGTTTACCTCAGCTGGAAATCTCACTCGATCAATAGTATGTTCCGAGCCCTTCTCACCGCCTTCGGTTTTGCCGAAATGCACGATTACCTGAAAAAAAGCGATAGATTTGTTTTAAAGGACGGGTAGGCTTAGAATTCCCATGGATTCTATTAACTGTCAAATCAAGAATCTATTTTGCAATTAAAAATTATTGTTTGTTTTCATGGGAAAATGAGGCACTAGCTGAAAAACCGCATAACCAAAAACTGCATAACCTAATTTTTGCGCTAAAGCGCCCCTTTTTGGCTTAATTATATAGTTTGTGTTCCAGTTCAATACCTGGTGTAATTTGTATCGATACGGAGCCGCCGGTCCCTCCGTAATATTGATTGTCAACTTCGTGTCGTTCAAGGTGACGATTGGCAATTGGCCGATGTTTTCGAGTGTTGCATCGACCTAGAAATGTCAAAAATGTCTCAGATATATCTCCGAAATACACTTTATATATAGGTTTACAGTACCTGTACACTATCAACATGTACCCCATGTAGATGTGGATCATAGAGCAGTAATGCTGGATCGATATTCACAGGGCTCTGCATTTGACCCGTCGTGCACATTCGCCATTCCCGATTCACCAAACCCCAGAAATCTGGGCCTAAAAACAAGATGTATTGATGGAAAATGATGTTATTTTGTTAACTGATACCCATCCGATCTATTGTTTATCTTTTGGACTCTCTTGTGTTTAATCTGGTCAATTTTTAGAGATTATCAAAAAACTGCATAACCTCTTCAATGACGTTAGCGCTCCGATACACTTTTAAATACGTTCCTTAACCATCAGTTAGTGGTTTCATAGTATAATTATTATTTACTGCGTCGTAATAACGCATTAATGAGAGCTATATATCGGGACACCAATATCGGGATTTTGGCCGTTTCTCAAGCCTGCTCTAAAAACTGCATAACTCTTTCAATGCCGCTAGAAGCGAACTTAAAGTTTTAATACACTTTCTGGCCGTCAGTTAAGAGTATTTCGTAATGATTTCCGTTTTTTACGCCCTTACGCACCGAGTACGCATGGATATATGCAAGCGGTCATCAGCCATGGCAGCATCCGGGGAAGGGGCCACGCCCAATAGAAGAAGGGACGGTGCCCAGATTCGTGAGACCTTCAGGTGGAAAAATAGATGATAAAATATAGAGATTTAATGAGTGTAAAAGATCTTAGGAAGAATAAATAATTTCACCAAAAATGGCAAAAATCGCGAAGGGTAAATAAAAAAATTCATTGCGTAAACGTTTGGTCCGAATTAAATTCAAATCAATTTTCGTTAATCTTTAGATATTTGTATTTATATATAAATATATAAAAAATTATTTATCCAAAAGCGGACCAAAATTAAAAATTCATTACATCAGACCATTTCTTCATAGCGTAATCGTTCGGCAATAAATCGAAGGTGTATGTAGAAAATTGTTTCGGGATTTGCTACATATTGTGGAACACCCTCTCTCGTCTCTATGGCCTGATAATTGAGGCTATTTGAGGGTGGAGGGTATGGCCATGGCCCTCCCCTCTTCCTCACCCCTCCACCCCAGCCATACCCACGAATTAGCATAGCTAATGTTCGTGCTCACACATTGGGCTCCATCAGGGCTAATCGCCCAATTTCTAGGTGAATCCCGGCTATCTGGAGGTCACAGCGTCGAAAATGGGAAACTACATAAAAGCAAATATCCAAAAAACTGCACAACTTCTGTTGCAAAAACTACGGCGTTCAAAAACTGCATAACTTTTCCGGCTATAAAAAGGATTTGTATTAAATCCAGGGCAATCTACTGAAAAATAAAAGAATACACGTCCACAATGTTTGGCAGTTTAAATCTGGACACATTAGAATCTTGAAAACAATCAAATTTTCTCGAAATTTTATTTGGTGGATTTTGGGCTCCCCAACCAGTTTTCACCGGATGCGAAGGAGAGCCTTTCAAAAATTGGAAATCCTGGGCCTCGGTGGAGACCCGGATAAAATCAACTGACAAAGGGGGTCGGACCCGGTCCCCTTTCAGGCGTGTCAGTGGGCCAGGTGGGGGGCGAGTGGGAGCGCCAGTTCTTTCTGGACACCCGACGGGTCGGGAATGGCTTTGAAAAGTCGCAAATAGTGACATTAGCTTATCTGGCGTTTAATCTGCCTTAAAATGCAAAAACTAAAACATTATAGCACTTTTATAGGTTATGCAGTTTTTGGCACTGATTGATCTGGTCT